GTAACACACAGTATGTCATCATAATTTACTCTAATCCATTTAAAAAACTTACTGTAATTTAATGATCGCATGCATCATGAAATTTTATTGGATGTAATCATGTAAAAATTAATCAGGTTAGGTGGGTTAAGCGGGTTAGGCAGGTTAACCGGGTTGGTATCCGGGTAAGGGTTAAATAAACGGGCAGGTGACCCGGAGTAGAATTTTATACCGGACCTAATCTCTACTCGTATATTACAATCAGACTGACAAGATAATGGCAATTCATATAGATTCAGCATCAAAATATATTCGAGGAATAACGATTGACAAGCCATCTTTTACACTTAACCCCACTTATGATAAGGAACGCGACATATTTAAAATTAACTTTGTAGATTCTATTTCCATGACTACATTACAAAAAACTGATGTTGAGGATGTCGAGATAGAAATAGATGATGAAGGAAAACTCGTTGCAATATTATTTACAATGCAAGTATCAAAATGGCAAACATGTGAGTAAAGTAGGGATGTTAAGCATTCTAAAAGAACTTAAGTTCCAGACCGTTTATTGGGGTTCTTAAGTGGTTAGTCCGGTCTTTGTTTGGGACTTCAGTTTAAAACTTAAATTAGAAAAGAATTAAGTCTCAAACTAGTCTATAGCTCTTAATTTGGGAAACGGTTTTTGTTTAATTGTTTTAAACTAATTTTATAAATAGTTCTTACCATTACTGTATTATCTTAAAATATCACTCGGGTGTAGATTAAAAATTTTGGCCTGGATTAAGCTTAATTTGGCCAAAATTTTAATCTACACCCAGGATGTTATTTTAGAATAATAGTTTATCATTTCTTATTATAGAAAATTGATTATTGCCCAAATTTCACTTTAATTATATGATTACTAATTAGAAAGTGAAATTTAAAGAATAATAAAATGATTTAATAATAAATTTAAAGAATAATAAAACAATTTAAGAATAAACATAAAAAAAAATAAAAACAATTAAAAAAAATAATAATACATTAGTTTTTATTTAAAAAGATATTTTTCACTTTTGAATATTGAACTTTTGCAATCACGAATATTAAAATTTTGCAATCATGAATATTAAATTTTTGCAATCACAAATATTAAATTTTTGCAATCACGAATATTAAATTTTTGCAATTATGTGATACTAATTAATTCACTATTTCTTTTTAAAAACAATATTTGAGAAACAGTTTCTGAACTGAGACGTGTTC